TAGTTCAGCCTGAAGCTTTTCAGCCTATGATAAAAATCAACAGAAAGAGTTTTAAAAGGTGTAATTTATTATGTGACTAATATTGTATCATTATCAGATGAAAGAATTGCACTCATTTATTGGCCTAGGTTTTCAAAACTGCATTTACACATCCATGCACTTACACATGGTAGAAAATCTGTGTATACACTTTTAAAATGGCTTGTTTGCCAATGTTAAGTTTGCAACCACAAAAGTTAAACTTGGATTTGCACATATGAATTCTAATATTTAAATATGTGTTTGTGCTAGACTATTTCAAAGGAACACACATGGATAGTGTGTGAAGTGGGTGCTAATATGTGCATAGGCAATTTTGCATGAACACAAATAGAGGATAGGGCTGGAAATCGGGCCTATTATTATATATACCTGATGCCCATGTTAATAATGATAATATTTCTGGGTATTCTAATCTCTATGCTAATACATACATTTACTCCTTTACCACTATAAAAAAAAGCAAGATTCATACTCCTACATTTATATTATTCTTTACATTCTAGTAAATCTTGAATTTTGGAGGAAATTTATGGTAGATGCTATAAATCTTCATAAAGTTTTTGATTCTTTAAAGACAATATTTCACTTTCAAATAACATTTTCTTCCCTTTTCCTGTTAAGCACATCTTGACTTTTATAAAGTATAACGAAATAGATTGTTTTAATATGGTGTAATACATCTGTGGGTTTCACAAATTCTTAGACTCTCACCTTATTAAGAATTATGTGCACACTTAATCTACACAAAGCTCATAGTGAAGCACATGCATAAATCTTTGCAGCACTGTGACCTTGCCAGCCTATTCCAAAATAGTTTTCTTAAAAATCTTATAGAAACTTAGAAAATGAACCATTTGGTTGAAATCAGCATATGACAATTCCTTAAGTGAATAAATAAACAGTCTGGGTTCACCTCGCCTGCAGCTGCAGAATCGGTCATTGGCTAAAGAATTGATTTGGAACTGCTGGATTTTACTGAACATGGGAAACAAAATTAAAAACACAGGTTGAACCCCTGTTATCTGAGACTCTTTGGTCCAGAAACATCCTTGATTTGGCAGGACTAAGGATGCTGCTGGACTAGAGAGGCCCAGCACTGAAGTTGCCAGTGGCTGGGAGTAGAGCCAGCTGGCAGGCCAGTGGGGCAGCAGAGCCCACGGGGTATTAAAGCCTGCAGTCGGTTGGGCTGGGAAGCTGGCGGGAGTGCCAAAGCCCATGGGGCAAGTGGGAAGAAGAGCTTTTAGCATGGGCAGGGAGCTGGTGGGGCTACTGGAGTCTGTGGAGCAAGGGGAAATGAGGAGTAACGGTAATTCGAACTAGGAAGCCTAGTTCGAACTACCTAGTTTGTGCCCCGTGTAGCCGTGCTGCACGGGGTTCGAACCAGCGGGGTTTTAAAAATGGCGGCTCCCTGCTTATGCAAATGAAGCCCGGGAAATTCAAATCCCGGGCTTCATTTGCAAGTGCGGTATGCCTACATTACCCTCCTAGTTCGAACTAGGAGGGTAGAGTAGACATACCTTTATTCCTGGTCTATACAAGGAAATAAGTTCAAATTGAGATATGCAACTTCAGCTACGTTAATTACGTAGCTTAAGTCGAAGTATCTTAACTCGAATTTTGGCAGTCCACACTGTGGGAAGTTGAAGGAAGCACATTCTCCCTCCAACTTCCCTTACTCTTCATAGAAGCAGGACTATGAGAATCAACAGGAACGCCCTCTCAGTTCAAATCAGCGTGTCTTCACTAGACCTGCTAATTTTAATCCCAGAAAATCAACTGTGGCTGCTTTGATCTTATCTGTAGCGTGGACATGGCCCCAATGAAAGTGCAACTTTATATACACAAACATTGAATTATGCAATAATAAGCTTAGTGTAAAGTGATCAAAGTCAAATGTAGAATTAGTATTTTTAATACAAATTGATTGGTGCCTGAGGATTTCATCAAACTGATGAAAGATCAAATTAACCCAATGACTGAATTAAGGGGAAAGGGAAGCTATGTCAAAGGGAAGCTATGATGCTTACAGTTTCAATGTCTTGTTTTGCTCTCTGCATTTTCTCTTGTGGTGTCCCTTTTGACTTTTTTCTTCTTTCTTTCGTCATTTGTGTATGCTGTTTGATGCGTTGTTCCAATTCCTTTTCTCTGGAGGTTCTGAATAAACAGAATAAAAATAGTTTTCTGGTCATCTTATTCTATGAACCTTTGCACTTCCAATCTAGTTTTAAACCATTGCAATATATAAACCTAATGAAGGGGAACTAAAACAAAAGTTCTATTCTCTTTTCATTGGTTATCATGGAGTTGTGAAAATGCATTATATTATAGTCTTCAATTACATAGTCACATACTATTTTTTACACAGGACTCCATCCAGTGCTGGATTTATGCACAAACTAAGTAAACTACAGTTTAGGGTCTCAGATTATGAGGGGCCTCTAAATACAAAAAAATTACTAGTTTTTAGCTGCATCTTCACCTATGTACCAATATCTATGCAAATATAAAACTTTATTGTTTCTATTTTCATTGTTATTTCTGTTAGAAAAATACACATTTTTGGTAATGCTATGGGGCTCTTAAATTTGACATAGTTTAGAGCTTTGGCGTGTCTTAATCTGGCCCTGAACCCTGTGCATTCAGCACACACAATGGAAGGCACTCTGAGAATGAATCTGGGTTATGTAGGTTCTTGTCTGTAAAAGCCCTTGTCTCTCGTGTAGCAAAAGTTGAAAAGCGCGTAGTGAGTGAGGCAAGGGATTGCAGGAATAGAAAGGGTGGTTTCATAGTTCAAGCAACAGAATTCTGCACTAGAGAAATAAATTTGCCTTGGCCACAGAGTTCCTATGTAATGCTGATCAAGTCTCCAAACCAGAGGTGGGCAACAATTTTTATGGGGGCTACTCCAAGAATTTGATAGGTAGTCAAGGGCTGCACTCTTCCATTATATTAATAAAGGAGGTGTGGGGGGCTGGGATGGAGGTTGGGTGAAGGAGGGGATTGTGACCTGGGGCAGCGAACTGGGGTACAGGAGAGGGTGCAGGGTCTGGGAGGGATATGGGTGCAGGAGAGGATTCTGGCCTTTGGGAGGGGGGTAGGAAGAGGGAATGCAGGATCTGGGAGGGGGTTGTAACCTGGAGTAGGAGTGTAGGAGGGGGTTCAGGATCTGGGAAGGGGTTGCAAACTGGGGCAGGAGTATAGGAGAGTGTGCAGGGATTTGGGCTATGACCAGGGATAGTGGATTGGGGTGCAAGGTCTGGGAGCGGATTGTGACCTGAGGAGGGTGGAGGAGGCGATGCCATGTCTGGGAGGATGTATGGGGGCTGGAGCGGGCTACAGAAGGTTTGGGTTACATGGGGTAGGGTGCAGGAGGAGGGCAGAGGGTTGGAAGAGGGAAGGTCTGGGGTGCCAGAGGCAGGCTCTGGCGGGGAAACCCTACTTAGATGTCCCCAGCCAGCAGCCCAGCAGGTTCCTTAACCAGGGTCCGGGGTAGGAAGAGGGAATGCAGGATCTGGGAGGGGGTTGTAACCTGGAGTAGGAGTGTAGGAGGGGGTTCAGGATCTGGGAAGGGGTTGCAAACTGGGGCAGGAGTATAGGAGAGTGTGCAGGGATTTGGGCTATGACCAGGGATAGTGGATTGGGGTGCAAGGTCTGGGAGCGGATTGTGACCTGAGGAGGGTGGAGGAGGCGATGCCATGTCTGGGAGGATGTATGGGGGCTGGAGCGGGCTACAGAAGGTTTGGGTTACATGGGGTAGGGTGCAGGAGGAGGGCAGAGGGTTGGAAGAGGGAAGGTCTGGGGTGCCAGAGGCAGGCTCTGGCGGGGAAACCCTACTTAGATGTCCCCAGCCAGCAGCCCAGCAGGTTCCTTAACCAGGGTCCCTGCCTTCCATGCCCCTGTACTGCTCACAGCTATAGGGCCATGTTTGCTTCTGAGAAAACAGTGAGCCAGGGGTGAGGGGCACTTTAATGCTGCCTGTCCTGCAAACAGGCAACTGCTATTGGCTGGAAACTGGTCAATAGGAGCTTCTGTGGGTGGGAGCAGTGTGAGAAGCCTTTGCCCTCTCTCCCAGGCTCTCAGCATTCACAGAAGCACATGGCCCCGCAGCAGCCAGCTTTCCTGAGTGCCGAGCAGGGGTAGGATAGGCAAAGGTGCAGCTGAAGCTCTCGTGAGCTGGAGCCAGTGGCTTGGCAGGCCATATCCAGACCCGCAGATCTAAAGCAAACTTTTTATTTTGCTCAGCCCTGCTCTAAAGCAAACTTTTTAGAGGTGGCCTATAACTTTGTGTTTATCATTCTTGGGTGCCCCTCTTGAGGCCTTGGATCTGATTTGCTAATCTCTGACAGCTGCAATTGAAGTCATAAGGAGCCATGCTTTGAACATATTAGGTCCTCTGAAAATTCAGGCTGCTGGTGCCTCAGATTGGACTCTCAAAATTAGTGGGCATTTAGATTTTAATCTCTCTGTGGCTCAGTTTCCTATCTGTACAATGAGACTAATAATACCACCTCACCTAACAGTAGTGTTGTAAAAATAAATTCATGAAGGTTTATGAAACACTGAAACACGATAGTGATAAGCACCAATTAGCATCCCTTAAGGAAATTAATAATTCAATCATCAGAGCAGGATAGTGTGCAGTAGTTAAGATATGGGACCACACATTGAACAATGAGAATAAAACAAACCATTAATTAGCTGATCATTTAGTGAACACCGTCCATTCTGTGTACCAAATGAGGGAGGGATTATATGGAGAGAGGGGAAGTATGTGATTATGTAGTTGAAAGATGCATCATAATGCATACTTACTGAGTGCTTGACTTGGCAATATACTTTTTGGTGTATAACTATATATAATTAAAAGTAATTTGAAAATTTTTTACATGAAGATAAAACAACTAATGGCTTTAGAACTCAGAGGACTTTGATACTTTTGGGGTTTATTTTTAAATCTGCTATGAAACTGACACTGATTTCTTTGTTTTATTATACAGGAACATTAGACTATACGTGTATGTGGCTCAACTCCCTCCTGGGAGTTAATTACCATTTCATTAGATGCTGCTGCAAGGGAGGGCAACATAAACTGCCTGAACACAAAGGCTGTGTCTACACTGGCAAGTTTTTCCGCAAAATCATCTGATTTTCCAGAAAAACTTGCCAGCTGTCTACACTGGCCGCTTGAATTTCCGGAAAAGCACTGACGATCTAATGTAAAATCATCAGTGCTTTTCCGGAAAAACTATGCTGCTCCCGTTCGGGCAAAAGTCTTTTTCCGAAAGACTTTTGCCCGAAAGGACCGGTGTAGACAGCATAGTTCTGTTTTCTGCAAAAAAGCCCCAATCGCGAAAATTGCGATTGGGGCTTTTTTGCGGAAAAGCGCGTCTAGATTGGCCACGGACGCTTTTCCAGAAAAAGTGCTTTTCCGGAAAAGCGTCCTGCCAATCTAGACACACTTTTCCGAAAATGCTTTTAATGGAAAAGTTTTCCGTTAAAAGCATTTCCAGAAAATCATGCCAGTGTAGACGTAGCCAAAGGGCGGAACTCCAGGGTTAGAGTAGCAAATAGCAAGATAAATAAATAGATATTGCCTATCTCCTAGAATGGACCTTGAGAGGTCATCAAGTCCAGTCCCCTGCCTTCACAGCAGAACCAAGTACCATCCCTGACAAATTTTTGCCCCAAATAGCCTCTGCAAGGATTGAATTCATAACTCTGGCTTTAGCAGACCAATGCTCAAACCACTGAGCTATCCCTCCCCCTAAAGATAAATTGTATTTTCTTGAAGGCTTCTAGTTGTGAGGGTGGAGACTGAGAAGAAACATCCATGGTCCCAAAACATACGAATTTCAAGATAAGCTGGGAGGAAAGGGCAGAAGCAGTTGGCAGAACAGCAGCAAGTAAAGTTTAATGAAACATACAGGCCTACTATGGGGGTGGGAGGCAAAGGGACAATTGCCTTCGGGCTTGGTGATTCTAAAGGGCCTGGGGCTCTAGCCAGTGCTATCATGGTAGTGGCAGTGCCCGCAGCTCCTGGCCCTTTAAATTGCCATCGGAGTGCTGGTGGCATGCTTCAGATGGCTAGGGCTACCAGATGATTTAAAAAAAATACTGGACACACTTGATCTCCTCTCTACTGCGTAGTTATGTACTGCCTGGCTGGTAGACACGCTCACGCAGTGTGAGCATGTCCCAGCCAGGAAGTACACAACTAAATACTGATACTCATGATAATAAAACTTACTTAATTAGAAAATACTGGACATTTATATGTCTGGTATTTTCTCAATTTGTTTCCTGGCCAGAAAGCTCAAATACCGGACTGTCCGGTTCAAAACTGCACACCTTGCAACCCTACAGGTGGGTCTAAGGGCCGCGGATGGGGGCAATGTGCTTCAGTCCAGGCTGTGCTGCGGGCTGACTGCCTCAGCCCCACCCCTTCCACCCAACGCCCCACCCCTTCTGGGAGCATGGAGCCCCCCTCTGCATCTTGCCCATAGGCCCAGCATGGCTGTCAGTTCCCCTGGAAACATATTTCAGGAGGAATGCTTACGGCACATTGGAAGCTGCTACGAACTCTGACCATTGTTTCAAAGAGCAGCTGTGCCAGGCTGTAACTAGTAATTATAACCATATCTTTTCCTCATTACTCTGGGGTACAGGAAAATGTACTTGAAATTAATATTGCTTAGAAAAGTTTTTGTTTTAGGTAAACCTGTTCTGCAGTTTTCCTCTAGAATAGTATCTATCAGGAAGAATGTCAGACTGTGCATTAGTCATAATATAGTTGTATGCTTCAAGCAACTTAATCCTCATGTTTTACTGCATCCCAGAAGTTAGAGTTTATAACTGCTAAATGTACAAACCTGTAGTATGACAGCATGCTTTCTATTTTAAAAAATGGATACAAATAAAATAAAAATAAATACAATCACCGGATTTTTTCCCCCGAACTAGAAACTGATTTTTTTTAGATAAAAAAAATGGCTTAACCTATGGGGTTTGTTTTCATTTTTCCACTCTTCAGTGGTTTGGGGCTGGTCTAGAACTAGAAAGTTCTGTTATTCCCATAAGGATGACCGTATTTTTAAGAGATTTTCCAGTCTCAAACCAAAGTAATTTAGATAAACATGCAAACTTTTATCCCAATTGAATCTTTTCAAATTTGGCTATCAATTAGTTGGGATCTTTACAACCTAGATGACAGACAAGAAGGACCATTTACACTCATTTTCCACCCAGTTCTCTCTGGCCACATCCATTGCCTTAACATGTAGAGAGATAGGTGCAGTAGGCTTGGTGAACACAAGGAACTCATCATGTCAATATAACTATGTTGCTCAGGGATGAGGACTTTTCATGACTTAGTGATACCAACCTAATCTTAGTGTAAACAGTGCTATGTTGAGAGGAAAGCTTCTCCAATGATCCTAGCTACTGCATTTTGGGGAGGTGGAGAACCTTTCCTGTTGGCATAGTTTGTGTCTTCAGTAAGGCTAGATCTACACTAATGGGAAAGGATGAATTGAGATACACAACTCCAGCTAAGTTAATTACATAGCTGAAGTCGACACACCTTAATCTGAGTTTCTGCATGGTTTCCGCAGCAGGACGCTGACAAAAACAAATGCTCCTGTCAGCTTCCCTTACTCCTTTAAGGAGCAGGAGTACCAGTGCTGACGGAGGCACCATCGAGTTTGATTTAGCAGGTCTTTATTAGACTCGCTAAATTGAACTCTGGAAGCAGCAGTGTCAATCTTCTGCCTAGTGAAGATATAGCCTAAGTGCTACAGCAGTGCAGTAGCACCAGTGCTTAACACAATATCATTATTATTATGACAGTTGCATTATGCATGAAGTACTCAGTTCTTTTATAAGCCATTCAGATTTTTTTAAGAATTAGTTTTTATTTTTTAATATGCAGGTTTATTTTGTTCTATAAAGATGAGGGAAGTGTTTGTTATGTGGAGCAATAAAACAATATATTTACACCTTCACACTAATAAAACAAAAGGATGTCACCCACAATGTTGTCTAAGAACACATTTTAAATTGTATAATTTTTTTTACTAACCTTGCTTCAGCATCTCTTATAGAATTTATTTTCATCATTCTGCTCACATGTTCACTTTTTTCAAGAGTACATTTCTTTAGGTTTTCACATCCTTCTCTTGTGTTGTGATAATTGATGTTATCGGTAGCATATGGTGCACTTTTTGATATCTACAAAAATGCAATGTAATATGGAGCTGGTACATTTAATGGAAAATCATCCTCAATTAAAAATTATTTCAGAACTATATATTTGTGGAAAGCTATTTTTTAAAATTATGCCCAGAGATCACCATAGATGCTACAGACTTTCCTATAAGCAATATGTTTGATAGAGAGGGTTGTTATGAAAACCCTTAGAATTGATTGAATGTTGTAGGGTCACTTTTCATATTTTACTCCACTTTTAATTTATTATAAAAAATATTCCATTACTAAAATAAAAGGATTATCTTCAGTGCTGTAGGCTGCCATAAATGGCTGGGCTTCTCAGGCCCCTGGGTTGCCACAGGCACCTGGGTTTCTACAGCTGCTGGCCCCATGCTTCTGTGGATGCCTGGGGTTCCCCAGCCCCTGACTCTGCACTGCCTCAGGCTGCTGGGGTTCTCTAGTCTCAGGCCCCAGCACTGATGTCCTATGGCCCTGATGGTCCTGGCCAGGCTGCTGGTCTTCCTGCATTAGGCTCCAGTGTGCGTTGCCAGACCAGAGAGTACCAGTTTTCAGAGGTGTAACCTATATTTTGATAAAGGAAATATTTTCATTTTTTCAAGTATAGGAAAGTTACTTGCCATCTGCAGTAACTGGAGTTCTTTTAGATATATAGTCCACATGCACATTGCATTGCTAGTTTGCAGGTGCCTCATGTTCTAGAGAGTTTAGTTATTTTGACCAACAACAGCCATAGGGGGTGTGTTACAGCCTTTATCTTCTATGTGGGCATAAAAATGAAAGGCACGTTTGATCAATTCCTTCTCACAGCAGAATCTCTTACAATAGGACTCCAAGGAAGAGGGGAAGAAAGGGCAAGTTACAAGACATGCATAAATTTCAGTTACTGCATACTATAAGGCCAAGTCTATACTACGACTTATGTTAGCAAAACTTTTGTCACTCTGGGCTGTGAAAAAAATATAATGACCAACACATGATGGCAGCCATTTGCACTGATCTGGCAGCTGTGTCTGCTGGGGCAGTGCTTTTTGCAGGTTTATTCTGGCCGTGAACAGGGCCTCCCTCAGTAACTGCTAACACAAAGTCAACATGAGTGTTGTGGAAACAGTTGTCCACAAAGGGAAGCAGCCTTTTATGTATGCAAAAGTCATATCTGGCTAATATGGCCTAATAACTGGCAACAAATAATTGTACACTTGCTGAGGAATAGGAAGGGAGCTCGCCAGCCAGGTATGAGAGGAATGAATAGAATGCAAACACTTTCCCCTCACTCCCTTAGAGTCCAGGGAACGGAATGAAAAGCTAACTAGAACGCATAGCTGCTGCCCCTCCACATGCTCAAAATGGCACCCTTGCTTCCACAGACGTGCCCTAACTGCTGGCCTATAGGAAGGATCTTTCTTAATCTCTTCTGTTGGAACTCTTCTACTTTCTATAAAACACTTAAAATAGTAATTGGGAAGAGAAAAAGTAAGAATGACTTCATAGCCTAGTGGTTAGATTTTTTTGAGAAAGGCACCTAGCTCAGATTAGCCCTAATTCCAGAACATTGTTCACTCTCTGCCAATCTCAAACAGAAATAGGTTCCTTCCACTATCTTGAAATTTAGGTGTTCAGGGCTTAGGCTACATTCTCCTTGATATTTCCTACTGTGTATATTAGGTGGCTCCTAACTCAGCATGCTGGCTTCTGTGATTCCCTTTTTTAGACACCTGCATCTCCCCATGCCTTGTACTGTAGAGAGAGCCTGGCACCTAACTCAGAGTTGGGAATTTCAGTAGGTGGCAGGGCACCCAAAAATTATGTATTTCAACACTGAATGGAGCAGCACATAGCCCTAAATGTTTGTAACTTGTACACTGATCCTAATGATTTTTATATACAGTCAACCTCCAATTGTCCGGCATCCAGTGGTCCAGCACTCCTGATAGTCCGGCACCAACTGGAACCCAGAAGTGCTCCGGCCAGCCAGACAATTGGAGCTGCCCAGAGGCGGCAGAAGAGAGGGCGTGAAAGGCAGGCAGCTGTTTAAGGCAGGCAGGGTGCAGCGAGGGGCGAACCCTCCGCCATGTTGCGGGGAGGTGGTGGAAGCCCCACGCAGCCGGCTTGC